ACAGTATGGAATGACTAGATGAGCAGACATTGTCTGTATTTTAATTGATGTTATGGGACAAAATATACAAGAATGACTGATTGAAGAAAACCATATGCTTTGTAAGCTTTAGTTCAAATCATAATTAAAAGAGAAGAAAAAAGTTACTTGAGTAAAATCCTCTCATACTTGTTGATGTCTTACAGCTGCAGACAGATTGCAGCCTGCGTCTCTCAAGGGGAGGAGATAATAGAGAGGCAAAGGCTCAGGGTGTGGCAGTCACAGGGTCATTTAGGAATCATGCTTTGTATCTTTATTGGGCACTTCCTTGCTGGGCATGGCCCGCGGTTCATTCTAGAAGACTTTCATGAGAAAATGTCCAGAAATATCAACACAAATGCCTATTCTGAAAATGTGAAGAATAAAAATCACAGCCTCAAGTGCAATAACTCCATAAGCCGTATTTTCTCATGTTTGGTGTTTTGGATGTTTTGGGCTGAACAGTTATGTTGTTGTGGAGGTCTGTCTTGTGTATTATCAGTATTGAGCTCTATCTTTGGCATCTATTTACTAATGTCCTGTTCTGCTTTTCTGTGTGCCATGGAGTCAGGTGCATTTCACAGTGACCTTTTGAATAACAAATCTGAACCCTGTCCTATCCTGTGCCACCCTTATCGTCTCTGACACACTTGTGCCCATTGCTGCAGTCACTGCCAATGAGCGTTGCTGAATGTCTTCCTTTCTTGCTGATTCCCCACCTTTCCAAGCATAAAGCCTCTTTCCAAACAGAAGCCCCTCCTAATAATATGCCCAAAGTATGTAAGATGAAGCTCTGTCCTTTCTGTCTTCAAGCATTCTCGTTACGCTTTCTCCAAATGTGTTTGTTCTTAGCCAGTCCATTGGATATTCAGTACCTTTTCCTAGCACCACAGCTTAAAGACCTTGGTTATTCTTCTGTCATCCTTATTTGTTATCCCACTCTCAGGTCTCTAGATCGTGGTACTAAGCACCCTCTCCATTTGTGACTATCAAAAATGGAGCTATCATTTTGAGTCACAGTCACCCCATCTGGCAGAGAAGAACTAATTGCCCAAAAAGAGCTGTGGGTGATTTTTTTTTTCTTTTTCTTTTCTTCTTATGTTGTTAATGTTTTTTAATTTGATTGTTTGGTTTGAGGAAGTTTCTCTCTTGTATAAAATTTCTTTAATTGCAATTTGAGTGAAAATTTACGAAGAAATTGATGTTCCAGTCAACAAATACACATTTTGATTCACGGTACTCAAGTCAGTCCCGCCACGTAACATCAATCTTCCTAGCTCTTCCCTGTGTTTCCTATTTTCATTCATCCTTCCTTCCTGTATCCTCATGCTTCCTGAGCATGCCCTTTTGATTCCGTGCATGTGATGTTCCAAGAGGTACATTCCTCCCTGGTGTTAAGGTTCATATTATTGAGTTGTTGTGTGCCATTGCATCAGAACCAACCCATAGCTGAGCCTCCAGTGGTTTTTCAGGGGCAAGTAGTCACAAGGGAGGAGACTGATCAACTTCTTCCCACTGTGTCGCTGGCGGATTTGAACCACATGCCTTTGAGTTGGCTACACAACTCATTACCACTAAGCTACCATAGCTCCCTGTGTATTATTTAGCTGGAAATTGAGTCTAAGGTGACTTAAGGTCCACACTTAAAATCTAAGAGCTGAAGTGTTAGGATTTCACCACTCTCAATTCCACTAGTAAGCTAGTTTTTAAAAAAAAAAAAGTATTATCTGAGTTTCGTTGCACATCCAAGATAGCTTTTTAGGTTGTAATACTCCAAGATGTGCTTTTTAGGGAGGAATATTACTCCTGATTGAAAACTACTATATTAGAAAAAGACATAATTTTAAAAAGAAAGGCATGTGACAGTCCCCTATTTGAAGCCAGCAGGCTCCCATCCTCTTAATGATGTCTCAGTGTTTGCTTGCTTATTTCTTTAACTCAGGAAAATAAAAAAAAAAGATTGCAAATAAAATAAAATTAATGTTATTGCTGCTTTCCTCGCTTGTCCTTTCTCCTCCACATGGGTGCCAAAATGAGATTGTGTTATCATCTTTGACTGTGTTTTATAATCTTGTCTGAGTTTATAGTCAAGGCGTATTATTAATAGCACATTAGTGCTGCACTAACATAAGCCAGTATTTCCCAAAAGACATCTAATGCATAAGGCAAAACCCCAATAAGCCCAGTTCTTGGTGCAATAAATCTTTTCTTGGAAACCTGTGATGTGACTTGCTTTGGGACCTGGTAGTTGAGAGTCAAAAATGGCCTCTGTGTGTTGGCCAGGAATTGTGTAGTCAGTCCTTTAAAGCAAGCTGAGGCTAGTTTGTCCAAAGAAAAGAGCTCATTGGCTCCAAACTCAAATTTGCATGCCGCCAATTGTTTCACAAAGAGCAGAGATAAACAGATTTTTAGCCACTTAGAGCCTACTTGTTTTACATAAGCTTCAAAACTGCATCCACCATCTGTTAGCCTTAGATAAGAAAAAGCCTTATGGTTGTAAGGAACTCTGGCTGTGGTGTGTCCCTTAAGGAAAGGTCTAGTGGCACAGAGGTTAAGCGCTCGGTACTTAACTGAAAAGTTGCGGTTTCCAACCTCACCAGCAGTTAGTTCCAAGGAAAAAAGATGTCATCAAGTTGGTTCCAAGTTATAATAACTCTGTACAGAATGAAACACTAGCAGGTCCTGTGCTATCCTCAAGACCACCGCTTGGTTTAAGCCCATTGTTACAGCTGGCGGCTACTCTTATCAAGCCATCTCACTGAGGCTCTTCTGCTTTTCCACTGACCCCTCGACTTCACCAAGCATCATACCTCTGCAGGGCTATGTCCCTCCTGATAGCGTGTCCCAAGTATGTGAGATTCATCAGCCTCGAGTCTAAGGGATATCCTGGCTGCATTTCTTCGAACGCAGATGTATTTGTTCTTTTGGCAGCCCATGATATACTTAATATTCTTTGCTAACAGCGTAGCCTAGACGAACTCCTCTCGGATAGTTCTATTATGTCACAAGAAGTTACTGTGAGTTGAAAGCTGATTGCAGGCTACCTAACAGCAGTTGCATCACCCTTTAGAAACGTCTGATGCAGGGATTCCCACGCTGACCCTTCATTGGATTCTTGAGACTATTAGTTGTAAAGGGAAGAGACTGCCTGCCTGTCTTTGCTGCGGGAGGAGGCTATCTTCGAGATCACCTGCACCCATCATCACTTCTCCTCTCCACTCCCGCTCCCACTGCCCAAGCACTGCGTTTGTCATGCTCTTTACCTCCTGATGGCTCCTGTGCAGCTTTGTCCTTAGTAGCCAGGAAACACTGTCTGCACCCAGCTCCCAGAAAATGCTAATTGTACAACACGATCGAGCAGTCATGCCTCATTTTAATGGTAGTTATGTTAACAGCAATTGAGTGAGTCCTTAAATCTTAGTCACCACGCACAATAAGGGCACGTCTGTAGGGTTTCTGATTGTGAGGGTTGTTGTTGTTGTTAGAGGCCATAGAGTCGAGTACAACTCATAGTGACCCTGTGACCAAAAGATCCGAGCCTACTTCTGTCCTGCAGCATCCTCACACTTCCTGACACACAAGAGCCCATTGCAGCAGTCACCTTCTCTATCCACCTGGCCGAGGGTCTTCCTCTCCTTCGCCGGCCTTCCACCCATCCCAGCATCATGTCCCTCTCCAAGGAATAGCACCTCCTAGCAATATGTCCAAAGTGTGTGAGGTGAAGCATCATTATTTTTACCTACACAAAGCACTCTGGCTGCACCCCCACCAAGGTAAAGCAATTTATTTTCTTGGCTGTCCAGGGATTTTCAGGGTTGTTGTTGTTGTTGTTATGTGCCATCGAGTCGCTTGCGACTCATAGTGACCCTATGTAAAACAGCCCTAAACTCTGCTCTGTCCTCTGCCATTCACACTGTCTCTGACACACCCACCCTGATTACCCCAGTCACTGAATCAATCTACCTCATAGAAGGTCTTCCCCTTCTACACTGTTCCTTCACCCTCCCACGCATCATGTCCCTCTCCAAGGACCTGTCTCTCTTTACAACATGTCAAAAGTGTGTCAGACGAAGCCCCAGAATCCTTACCTCCATGGAGGAGCCTGGTTTAACCCTCTCCAGGATGAATCTGTTTTCTTAGCAGTCCATGGTACACTCAATACTCTTCTCCAGCACCACAGCTCAAAGGCATCAATTCTTCTTCTATCCTCCTTGGTCATTGTCCAACTCTGATGTATAACAAGTGATTGCAAAGACCATGGCCTGTATCAGATGCACCTTAGTCTCCAGAGTGCAACCATTGCTCTTCAGTACTTTGGAGAGGTCCTTAACAGCAAACTTCCCCATCGCAATATGTCTTTTAATTTCCTGGCTTCTGGTGTCAAGAGTGTTGACTGTGGAGCCAAGCTGACTATAACTGTGAACAATCTCAATCTCTTCACCATCCTTCCAGATGCTGCCTGTTGGTCCAGTGGTCAGAATATTTGTCGTCTTGATATTGACTACAGTAAATTGTCAGCCTTTCTTCCTATCTAATATCATACACATACTCACATGCACTCATTGCCATTGAATTGGAACAGACTCATAGTTGACCTTCCTGTGGGTTTTCAAGAGGTGGTATTTTACACAGAAAGAGATTGCCCATCTTTCTCCCAAAAAGCCACTTGTGGATTCGAACTGCTAGAGAGGTGCCACTTTTGTGTTAACAGGGCAATTTCCTACCCACTAGGCCACCACAGGTCCCCTATTCAGTATGATAGCAGCATATAGAGACACCACTGAAAGGTAAATGGTTGCTTTGTTGAAATAAATTAGTGGAGAATTGAACCTGGGTCTCCTGCATGACGGCTGGAATTCTACAATTGAACCACCACCACTGGCTGCCAGCATGGGATTCTTTCAAATTAAGTACACCGGCGGGATTGTAGTGCAACTTTGAAATTAGAAAACTCACGATCTTATTACTTTTGTTTTCTCTAGGCAAAGGCAGCTCCAGCATCTCATCTGACGTGAGTTCAAGCACAGATCACACACCAACCAAAGCCCAGAAGAATGTGGCTACTAGTGAGGGTAGGTGCCTGGTCTTCTGCATTTCGCCTGGTCTCCTCAGTGCTGCCTGTGCTTGGGAGGCAAGTAGATGTGAAGGGCTCTGTTCTGTTCTCCTGAGTTGGGAGCACATGAGATTTGAAAAATGACAAGGCGGCAAGGAGGTGTTCCTTATTTTGTTTGAATTGCTTTGTGGCTAATGACCATTAATGTTGAATTGTTGGATTATAACTCTCTCAATACTAAGATAAATCCTGGTATTTTGTGAAAACAAAAGATGTGGAACCAAGGGTAGCTTTTATGGTTGTTTTATGTGTTTTGTTTCTCCGTGTAGAAAATATAATATGGTCATAAAGTCCTTGTTGTTCAGTGGCATTTTCATGCTAGAATTTTCAAAATAGTTGCACCTACACTTCAGAATTGGAGAGAATTGGGAAGATCAGAGACAGGCAATGTATTTGCTTTGAATCACTCACCAACATTTGGGACTAAAAAATTGGATTTCCTGGTTGCATAAATGAATAAGTGAAAAACTCAGCTGGGGAAAAAATGGTGCATTGATAACCGTGACAAAGAATTTTACTTTATGTAGTAAAGTACTGTGTATTGGAATAAAACATTTCCTAATAAAAGAGGATATCTTTAGTGATTGCTTATTTCTTTATGAATAGAAATCTTTCATCTGCCATCCTAATTATGTAGAGCTGACCCAACTATGGAATGAGATTAACTTCTTTTGATATACAATGCAATACACTTGTTTCCTTTCTAAAGAAGAATGCCTTCTAAACTTACTACCAAATGAAATGATGGTGTAAGACATCAATGAAATTTGGAATGAAAGGTTTTTATTTCATCAGCTGTTATTTCTAGATGGTGTATCATATTGATTGTACCCTGAGATGTACACGGAGTTAAGAAACCACGTTATCAGGCTGAATTTGTGCTGTGTGCAATAATGAAAAGCAGACTTAAGACCTGATGTTGGTCATCTCTAATTTTTAACTTTTCTTGCACTGTGTCACCTGTGTGGTGATGGTTTAACTCTGCTATCCTCTCGATTTTTTAGAGAGAGTGGATATTCTTTAATTTGGTATGTTTTAAAGAACATAGAATTGCCTTCTGCATGCTAATTAAATCCAGAATGATTTGTATGTCACCCTTACAACTGGATGATTTTATCTTATGTTAGTGCTTTGTTGTATGTAAATCACTATGCAAATCAGCAGCTTGAGGTGTTCACTGCAGTGCAGTGAAGCATCAGGTAGCAATTCAATTCTAATTTTCTGCCTGTTAATTCAAATTTGGACATTTAGAGCAGACCTGAAATTCAGCTCAGGCAATATGCAAATTGGTTAATTGGTTTTAGACATTTGTTTGGAGGTTTCTGTTCCCGTGAGCCAGACTGGAAACTGCTCTAGTGTCATTCATTTAAGATTATGCATTAAAAGTATCTATGTTTTGCAAAATCGGGACTAATTTTTAATTTTGCAGACACTCCTGCCATAGTCATTTGTCCAGCTTGAGTGGCTATGAAAGTAGTTAAAAATATGTGAAGTGATCTTTTCGTGCTGCCCTAACAGGATTTTGATTTCCTTGTTAGTTTTGTTCTGTTTTAAAAATAGAAAGATGCAAAACTCTGTGTGTTCATTTGTGCTATTTGTAGAGGTTGGGGAGAGATTGTGGGACTCTGTGGATTCGAAGACGTCAGCTTTTTTGCCTCAAAACAACTCTATAAAGATTGAAAATTTTCATTGTATTTTGCCTTTCCTTAGGGAAATTCTTTTTGGCTCAGACCCAGCCTATGTTTTATACATTTTTGTCACATTCATTTTCTGTCATTCTGCTGGTAGAATTGGAGGGCAGGGGGATGGGAAAATGTGATATTCATATGCAACAGAACTTTCAGCAACTGGGCTAAATTCTAATTTCAAGTAGAATTTCTTTTTGACTCTTGAATGGAAGAGCCCCTCCCACCCTGTTAACCCATCAAGTGCCTGTGGCTTGGAATCCCATATTTTGAATGTGTATCAATGCATTAAGTGAGGGAGTCGGTTGGAAATAAGAATGTGATTGGGTATTCCCTAGCATTCCAAGCATTTGTATAAATATCTCACTCCCAAGGGAAAGAGCATTGTTGAGTCCTTTTCAAACACTTTTCCACAATATAAATCAAAGTTATTTCAGTATCCCAATTCTCTTCTCAGCGCCCAGAAGTTACAACCATGTATTATGAGTTTACCTGTTATAAATAGTCCTAGAGAATTGGGTCTTTACTCTCTATTAATCATTTCATTTACTGTCAAACATTCTTCAAAGATGTCAACTTTCATGCATGGCTTTTGCATCATATTTTGTAGAGGTAGAGTCTGAAAGTACAGGTCACAACTTATCAACCAATAACCACAAAGAGCAATATGTTTGAATTAATCAAGGAAGCACCGCAGTGCAGCACAGCACACATTGCTGTGCAGTCTGCATTGTCCTGGTGTCCTGTTTATAGAAAAGCTATTTTTAAACACTGATAATTTGAAATAGAGTGTATTCCTCAAAATAAAATCAGTCTAATGCCAGAAAATATTTTCATGGTTGCATTTTCCTATGATACATACCAATTATGTACATGGCATTTTGTTCAGCTAAACATTAAGTAAAAGTAACTTTTGCAGTATTGCAGAGTTTGTGCTGCTTTCACCAAGAATTTAAGAATCTTTTCAAATGCTCTAATAATTCACCTGTTGCTTGTCTCAGAAGAATAGAACTCAAAAGATAGACTATTTCAAAATTGTCATTAGTGGAATATTTTTTGCTCAATTTAAATTTGGATAAGCATGTTATGTATAGGGCTATGGAATATAACGGAGTTATTCTACCAACTTTATTATGTATCTGGAGTTTTTTTAAATATTGAGTGAAAGTTTACAGAGCAAATCCGTTTTCCTTTCAATGATTTGTACATGTTTTGCTTCATGGCAGGAACTGCAGTCCCACCATGTCAAATAACTCATCTCACCTCCTCTTGAGTTTCCTGTTTTCATTCTCTGTCTCTCATATCCCTCCATAACTCCTAAAATTAGTCCTTGAACATATGCTGCATACGGAACCTTTGATCTCTTGTAGCTGATTGTTCTGTAGATTACCTATCTCTGTAGGGTTAATGAATAGAGATGACAGGAGAATCAATGCATTTGAACTCTGGAATTGGAGAAGTGTACACAATGCCCATGGGCTGACAAAAGAACAAACAGTTATGTGTTGAAGGTGCAGCCAGAGTGCTCCTTGGAGGCAGAGATGATAAAGCTTTATCTTTCATACTTTGTGAATGTTGCTAGGAGGAGCTCTTCCTTAGAGAGGAACATCATTCTCGAAAGGTGGAGGGATGATGAAAGGGAGGAAGACCCTCAACCATGTGGATTGACACAGTGACTGCAGCAATGGGCTCGAGTGGGTCAGAGACTGTGTGGATGATATAAGATAGGACAGGGTTCAGATTTCTTGTTCAAAGGGTCGCTATGAATCCTACTCAACGTAACAACAGCAATTAATGTTACTCTTTATCTTACTGCTGTTGTTAAATGCAGTGTAATTCAATACAGCTCACAGTTGCTCATAACAGTCTTGTCCTTATTCATTGTCGAGGTTTCAGATAGACACATAGCTGATGATTGGAAAGATTGTGACTTGAATCAAGAAGGCACCTTTTAGTCTTTAAATTGACATTATTGCCCTTCAGAACCTTGGAAAGATCTCTGACATCTGAATTTCACAATGCTATTCAAACTCATTTATATTTTTGTTGAAAATTGGACCAGATTTTCAGGGGCAAACTCAATTGCAGGTTTGCAAGATGAAGTATGGCCATACTCCCAAAGGTTCCACCAGGTACCTTCTGACCAGTCTGCTGTTTTTTATATGATTTTGAGTTTTGTGCCACATGTTTCAAATTTGTTACAATGGGACATCTTACTGAAAAGTCAAGAAGATGATATACACAAATCCATGCTTGTTGATTGTGGCAGTGCTGTTGAGTCAGAACTGACTCATAGCCAACTTTCAAATATATTTTCAAAGGTCGTAAATTGCATGGGAAGAGATAGCCCATTTTTCTCCCACAGAGATGATGGTGGGGGATTTGAACACCAGAGAGGCATCACATTTGGATTGGAAGCACAGCAGCCTACATATAATCTCTGCCAATGTGCAGAGGCTGTATCTGGGTACCTCTCAGGATGAGGATAAGGTCTTAGATCTTCAGATCAATATCCTGTGGATCTAGCTTGTTATTGTTGTTAGGTGCCGTCGAGTTGAGTTTGCTATTAATGACCCTATGAACAAAAGATCTGAACCCAGTCGTGTCCTGCACCATCCTCACATTTCCTGATACACAAGAGCCCATTGAAGCAATCACTGTGTCAGTCCACCTGGTTGAGGGTCTTCCTCTCCTTCGCCAACCCTTCACCATTCCCAACATCATGTCCCTCTCCAAGGAAAATCACCTCCTAGCATCATGCCTAAAGTATGTAAGGTGAAGCCTCATCATTCTTGCCTCCAGAGAGCACTCTGACTGCACCCTCTGCAAGACATCTATTCATTCTCTTGGCTGTCCATGGAGTGTTCTGTACTTTCTCCAACACCAAAACTCAAAGGCATCAATTCTTTTTCTGTCATCCTTATTCATTTTTCAGGTCTCAGATGCATAGCTAGTAACTGGAAAGAGTATGGCTTGAATCAGACACACCTTAGTCCTCAAACTGACATCACTACTCTTCAATAATTTGGAAAGGTCTCTAACGACAGGTTTTCCCAGTGCAATACATCTCCTTATTTCCTGACTGCTGGTACTAAGGGTGTTAATTGTGGATCCCAACAATATGAAGCTGTTGACAGTTTCATTCTCCTTTTCACCCATCATGACTCTGCCTATTGGTCCCGTGGTAAGAATCTTTGTTTTCTTGATATTGAGACACAATCCATACTGAAGGCTGCATTCTTGATCATTTGCAACTAGCTTACACACCGTCATT